TGGTTTGCCCTTGCCTGCCTCTGCGTAGCAACCCTGGACTTCTTTGGTGGTCTCCCATCCAAATACCAACCAGGGCCGACCCTGTTTAGCTTCTGAGATCTGATGAGACCGGGCTAGCCTGGGCCATCCAGGTCAAGGCAAGAGATGTCCAGAGGTGGTTAGCCACTGCCTGCCTCTGCGTAGCAACCCTGGACTTCTTTGGTGGTCTCCCATCCAAATACCAACTAGGGCCGACCCTGCTTAGCTTCCGAGATCTGATGAGATGAGGCCAGCTTGGGCCATCCAGGTGAAGGCAAGAGACGGACAGAGGTGGTTTTTGCCCTTGCCTGCCTCTGCGTAGCAACCCTGGACTTCTTTGGTGGTCTCCCATCCAAATACCAACCAGGGCCGACCCTGTTTAGCTTCTGAGATCTGATGAGACCGGGCTAGCCTGGGCCATCCAGGTCCATCCAGGTCAAGGCAAGAGATGTCCAGAGGTGGTTTGCCATTGCCTGCCTCTGCGTAGCAACCCTGGACTTCTTTGGTGGTCTCCCATCCAAATACCAACTAGGGCCGACCCTGCTTAGCTTCCGAGACCTGATGAGATGGGGCCAGTTTGGGCCATCCAGGTCAAGGCAAGAGATGTCCAGAGGTGGTTGGCCACTGCCTGCCTCTGCGTAGCAACCCTGGACTTCTTTGGTGGTCTCCCATCCAAGTACCAAGCAGGGCTGACCCTGCTTAGCTTCCGAGATCTGGTGAGATGGGGCCAGTTTGGGCCATCCAGGTCAAGGCAAGAGATGGACAGAGGTGGTTTGCCCTTGCCTGCCTCTGCGTAGCGACCCTGGGCTTCCTTGGTGGTCTCCCATCCAAGTACCAAGCAGCGCTGACCCTGCTTAGCTTCCGAGACCTGATGAGATGGGGCCAGTTTGGGCCATCCAGGTCAAGGCAAGAGACGGACAGAGGTGGTTTGCCCTTGCCTGCCTCTGCGTAGCGACCCTGGACTTCCTTGGTGGTCTCCCATCCAAGTACCAAGCAGGGCTGACCCTGCTTAGCTTCCGAGATCTGGTGAGATGGGGCCATCCTGGGCCATCCAGGTCAAGTCAAGAGCTGTACAGAGGTGGGTTTGCCACTGCCTGCCTCTGCGTAGCCACCCGGGACTTCCTTGGTGGTCTCCCATCCAGGTATTGAACTAGAGCCGACCCTGCTCAGCTTCTGAGATCTCTTGCGAAAAAACAGCTATTCTAAAAGAACCCTACGTCTGCAGTGTTCTCATCCAAAGGAGAATCAATCCTAGGACCGCATGGGGGAAAGGGAGGCGTTCTTAGTGAGGCTATGGGGTGGTGGGTCATCTCTCCACTCACAGAGCATTGCTATGGAGCGCTAGGATTTCAGTGGGTTTAGACTGCAGTGGCTGGCACAGAATTGCACGGTCAGCATGCTAAACATCAACTTACTTTATCACGTGTGCCACAAGTCCAAAGTCTTTGACGGTGCCAGTCCGGAGCACGCTGTCATGCCCTACTCTGGTCTATCAAGGTCATCTACTCAGACTGGCAGTGGCCCTTCATGGTCTGTCACTTCCCAGACCTTTTTAAATGGAAATGCCGGGCTTGAACCTGGGACCTCCTGCATGCCAAGCAGAGGCTCTGCCACTGAGCCAGGGTCTTGGGTCAAGGCCTTTCTCATCACCTCCTGCCTGGTCCTTTTTAACTAGAGATGCTGGGGACTGAACCTGGGACCTTCTGCATGCCAAGCAGAGGCTCTGCCACTGAGCCACAGCCCCTCTTTACAGCTCTCCAGGGTCTCAGGCATCACCTCCTGCCTGGTCCTTTTCACTGGAGATGCCGGGGGACTGAACCTGGGACCTTCTGCATGCCAAGCAGAGGCTCTGCCACTGAGCCACAGCCCCTCTTGACAACTCTCCAGGGTGTCAGGCGGAGGTCTTTCCCATCTCCTCCTGCCTGGTCCTTTTTAACTGGAGATGCCAGGGATCGAACCAGGGACCTCCTGCATGCCAAGCAGAGGCTCTGCCACTGAGCCAGGGTTTCGGGTCAAGGTCTTTCCCATCACCTCCTGCCTGGCCCTTTGAACTGGAGATGCCAGGGATTGAACCTGGGACCTTCTGCATGCCAAGCAGAGGCTCTGCCACTGAGCCACGCCCCTCCACTCACATAAAGTCGCCTTATACTGAACCAGACCATCAAGGTCAGTATTGTCAACTCAGACTGGCAGTGGCTTTTCAGAATCTCAAGTCTTTCAAATCATCCGGTCCTTTTAAGTGGAGATGCCGGGGGTTCAACCTTGGACCTTCTGCATGCCAATCAGAGGCTCTACCACTGAGCCACGCCACCCTCCCCACACAAAGGAGATGGTCATACACTGACTCAGACCCTTGTCTTCTCTGGTGGGCAGGGGCGGTCCAGGATCTCAGGACACCCCATACCTGCCCTAGGCTAGACCCTAGATAACAGTCGTTTATTAACTGCTTCCTAATCCATCCATAGCCTTCACTGTCCTTCCAAAACAGGATCACCAAGTTCTTCCCAAGAGGAATGCAGTCCCCGAGAGCCCCAAGGACTTGGAATACTCCTGCAGCCTCCCCTCCCAGGGGAGACCAGCATTCCTTGCCCTGGAGAATGAAAGCCAGGCCTTTGTTTCGCCAGAGGCCTCTTAACATTCCTAGAAACTGTTATGAGTGTTTCTCGTGCTTTGGTTTCTTCGAATGAAGGAACACCTTGCCAACCCCCCCTTCCCCCGCCCCACAACACAGTAATGCAAACAGGGGTTAGATTAATCATTACACTAAATCCCAGATTAGAAGCTACTGTGCAGGGCTGATTCACACATCGTAGGCATCTACCTAAGACACAGTCCTCACCTAGATGGCCCAGGCTGGCCCCATCTCACCAGGTCTCAGAAGCTAAGCAGGGTCTCAGAAGCTAAGCAGGGAGACCACCAAGGAAGTCCAGGGTCGCTACGCAGAGGCAGGCGATGGGGGAACCACCTCTGTTTATTTCTTGCCTTCACCTGGATGGCCCGGGCTAGCCCGACCTCCTCAGATCTTGGAAGCTGAGAAGAACATGGAACGTCTCTTGCCTTGAACACCCTACATGGTCTCCATAAATTGGCTACCGCTTTACGGCACTGTGCACATCCACACCCCAGTGCATGAGAGAGAGAGATGTGCTTGGAAGCACGGAGCCAGGAATTGACTGAACACTGAAGTCAAATTGACAGTCCATCACAAGCCATACGGTTTGTGGAATGGCGCCGATGTACATGAAGAGCCGTGCAGAGGAATCCCAGCGGAGTTCCTTAGGGTGGGGCTTACCAGTGTAAATATTTGTGTCCCGTTCCTTATACCCCTCTGGCATATTTTGAAACCCGGGTTCGAATCACGTCTCAGCCTCCGAGCAGGACTGCCGGCTCCGGGTTGGGAAACACCTGGAGATTTGGGGGGGGGTGTTAGAGCCTGAGGAGGGCGGATTTTGGGAGTCGAGGGACTTCAGTGGCATTTAATGCCATACGGTCCACCCACCAGAGCAGCCATTTTTCCCAGGGGGACCACCTTAAGCAATTCCAATTTGAAGATGAACATCTTGAACAATTTCAGTTTCTTCATCTTCAACCTAAGAGTTGTGTAATTCCCCAGTAGTTGTTACTTTCCCCTGAAAAATCAGCAGCGGCTGAACATAGCCTAACTCAAACAGGACACACTATTTTGTTCCAAGACACTGAAAGGGCTGGACAACACATCCAATTACCACGTCAGATTACACAGGGAAGCCATTAAAACTCATAAACACAAACACAATTTCAACAGGAAAGAAGAGAGTTTTAAAATAAATAGGGCACCGTTTCCAGTCCTGAAAAATGCAAAATGCTCTATATCGGAAAACAGCACTACAGATGAGATTAGAATTTCAACAGCCCATCCATAGGCAAAAGAACCTCCTGTCAAGCTCAAGTCTAACTTTCTATTCCTTAAATTCTGCTTTCCTTTCCGCTCGCTTGTCATTTTGAATCCCTGGAGGTGGGGTATGTGTTGTTGGAGTGCATGGGAGTAGTGGCCATAGTTGTGCCCCCAAGAGTTGGTTCTCATGTGATTGACGTTGGTGAATCTCTGTGCCTAGGCTAGGTTAGATAGAGCACCATATATCTGTCTGCGTGGCCACAGAAACACTGGGGATTCAGTGTGATGTATGAGAGTGTGGAATGTTATGAGTTTACCTATAACCTGTGATTTCCCGTGGTTTTCTTTAGTCCTAACAAAAGTTCTCGAACCTACAGCAAGCATATCTTCAATAATAAAAATAATAATAATAAGAGATTGGATGAGACAGGGCCCTGGGGAGAGAACCATTCCCACACACACACACACACACCAGCCAGCCAGTGTTGGGCCGAGTCTCCTTCGGCTGCGAGTCGGCAAACGGGTTTCCCCACTTTCCGTTCTGGGTGGGAAACTGTATTCCAGCGTGCCGGGCAGGGAGTGTGCTTCCACACAGGGGCTCTCCTCCTCAAGTGTAGGGTCCGGAAACTTCTGGAGATTTGGGGGGTGGGGACTAGAGAGGGCGGGGCTTAGGGAGGGGAGGGACCACGTCAGAAGAGGAGGAGGAGGAGATTGGATTTATACCCTGCTGCCCTTCACTACCCAAAGGTGTCTCAGAGCGGCTTACAAACTCCTTTCCCTTTCCCTCCCCACAACAGACACCCTGTGAGGCGGGTGGGGCTGAGAGAGCTCTTGACAGAAACTGCTCTTTCTCAAGGACAGCTCTTATCAGAACCATGGCTTGCCCAAAGTCATCCAGCAGCTGCAAGTGGAGGAGGAGTGGGGAATCAAACCCGGCTCTCCCAGATTAGAGTCCGTGCACTTAACCACGACACCAAACTGGCATTTCACCGCCAATAGTGTGTGCAGAGAGTGTTTTGGCTGGGGACCTGACACCTCCTCAGGAAAGCTCCTCCATTAGCATGTTTCACAGGCTGGGGAGCTCCTACAACAGAATGACTCAGCCCTACCCCACCTTCCTGAGTAGATACAAATTACCTGCCTACCATTTTTTTTCCTTCTCACCTTGACACAGAGAGCACTCCCTCTTTCTGTGTTCTACCTCTGAGGATGCCATTTCATAACCCGCCCTCAACCTTTTCCGGTAGGGTGGGGGGAAGGTCTAAAAATAGCCACTTTGCAATTCCAGGCAGGGGCCGGATAATGTCAGCCTGAGACAGGGCCCTGGGGAGAGAACCATTCCCACACACACACACACACACCAGCCAGCCAGTGTTGGGCCGAGTCTCCTTCGGCTGCGAGTCGGCAAACGGGTTTCCCCACTTTCCGTTCTGGGTGGGAAACTGTATTCCAGCGTGCCGGGCAGGGAGTGTGCTTCCACACAGGGGCTCTCCTCCTCAAGTGTAGGGTCCGGAAACTTCTGGAGATTTGGGGGGTGGGGACTAGAGAGGGCGGGGCTTAGGGAGGGGAGGGACCACGTCAGAAGAGGAGGAGGAGGAGATTGGATTTAAACCCCACCCTTCACTCTGAGTCTCAGAGTGGCTTAGAAACTCCTTTCCCTTCCCCTCCCCACAACAGACACCCTGTGAGGCAGGCGGGGCTGAGAGAGCTCTTTCCAGGACTGTCCTTGAG